ATTGTGACATCAATAAAAAAGTAGAAGGACAATTGACCAATTTCCTTAAAGATCTAAAGAAAAAAGGAATAATTACGACCGAAATTCACGATTCAATTAAGCCGACGGGATCATTTACACCACGACTGTATGGTTTGCCTAAAGTACATAAATCGGGTCTTCCCCTACGCCCAGTTCTAGATATGTACAATTCTCCTTACCACAAAATCGCAAAGTGGCTAGTACGAATCCTAGAACCTTTACACAAATCAGTGGTTAGAAATAGTGTAAAAGACGTCTTCAACTTCACCTCCAAAGTAGAAAATATTAATGTTAGTAGGAAAAATATGATCTCATTGGATGTAGGATCTTTGTTCACCAACGTACCACTTATGGAGACTATTGAGTATATATGCAAGCAAATATCTGAAAAATAAATCAACATTGGCTTGCCTAACGATAGCCTAAGGGAACTGCTCCTAAGATGCACCCTGAATGTACATTTTGTCTTCAACAATACTTACTATAGACAAATAGACGGGATAGCCATGGGCTCGCCTCTAGGCCCGATTTTAGCTGATCTCTTCCTAGCAAAGCTAGAAAATGGACCTCTCAATGAGCCTATTCAGAAACTTGATTTATATTGCCGCTACATTGACGACACTTTCATTATCGTAGATCAAAACACCAGTAAGGAGGAACTCCTAGAACAATTTAACAGTGTCCACCCAGCGATCACTTTCACTGGTGAAAGCGAGCATGATAAGAAACTGAACTTCCTTGACGTCACACTAAGCAGACGAAGTGACGGCACACTAAGTAGAAGCGTGTATAGAAGAAACCCCTCTTCATGCCAATATATTCACTTCTGCAGTTTCACACCTATCCGTTACAAGAGAAATTTGGTCAGATGTCTCACTAGCAGAGCAAAAAAGATCTGTACAGTAGACACTCTAAGTCAGGAGCTTGAATTTATCAACAACTCACTGACCGAGATCGGCTACCCCAGCGCGTTCATTAGGAAGTACATGCATGATATAATAAAAAAGTCGGAGATTTCGACTGTTCGTAAGAAACCTTTATACATGAAAGTGCAATTCAACGGGGATGTGGCTAGTGACACTCTGAAATATAGATTAACCAAAGTAATCACCAGGACATTCTACGCAGCCAATCTGGCGTTGACCTTCTCTTGTCGACCAGCGATGTCTACTCAAACGAAGGATAAGTTACCTGAGTTGGCCTCTTCCATGTGCATTTACAAATTCAGCTGCTCCTGTGGAGATAGGGCGTACTACCAGGCAACTTAACCAACGAATGAGTGAACATCTACCAACTTGGTACATAAAGGGCCAGAGAAAATCTATTCGGAGTTCTATATTGGCACATCTTATTGATAGCGGTCATGCAGTAGATAAATCGAAATCTTTTCGAGTTATCTATCGTATACCTCCATCATTTCCCGACGGAGTCCGTTCCCGTCTCCTATATATAGCTGAAGCCATTGGAATTCGTACATATAACCCCAATTTATGTGTACAGAAGAAATACGTGACCCCCCTATCCCTTCCATGGTCAGTTATAACTTAACTAACAATTCTTTTTTTTATTTTTATTTATTTATTTTATTATTATCCTTATTCATTTTATTTTATTTGTGTTATCATTAACCTTATTTTCACATCCATTATTTGTTTTGTAATTTTCCGCCTCTTTGTATTCTTCACTATCTAATTATTTACACACATCTTATTACGTAATGATTTTAATGTTTTGTGATTACTATTCCTAGTCTATTTACCCATGTTTATTTGACCTTCTATTTCCAACGTTTAATTATTGATAAGAGTTTTGTTATTGTATTTTATTATTCTCACTATTATCAGTTCATCTGTCTTCCTACAACAAACTTGTACTTTTACCGATTATGCGTAGAGACTTATTCTATTTCATTGGGTTTATTGACCCATATTGCCTTGATTGGTTTAAAATTTTCTTATAAATATTCATGTATATTAGAGTAAAGCCTGATGACGATCTAATTGAAAACAATATTGTTCGTTTATATGTGTTGTTCTAATTTACCTGAATGGTGATCAAATGATCAACATTTAGTGTTCAATGCACAAATTGTCTTTAATTTGAATCAATTATAATTTGATTGTTTCGATAAAAATCGATATTATTTTAGTTACATTCAGACATTACTATATAGTGAATTCTGAATTAGTATCATATCAACAATCAGATATGGGAAACAATAACAAATGAATTTGTAAGCCTTAAACGATTGAATTCTGTACAGTCTGAATCTTCATTTTGAAATCTACGACTCATTGTGGCATGGAATGTTTTTATATTCAATATATTATATATTAAAAGATGGATATAACAAGATAATATCGAACAGATATTTACATGAATTGGTCAATGAGTATTGAGCTATGTCATATCTGTATAGTTCCTATCGATGATGGAATTCTATCAACTGAGTATAAATTATTTCCAATCCCATGATGTATATCTTAATCTTCGATAGGTAGAAGCAGCTAAAGGTACTCCTTACTCATGATTTCTCTTCAGTACAAAATTCAAATCAAGTATGGTTTACTGAAAACTTCCTTAAATCACCTCATATGAAGTAAATGACATAATGATGTCTTATAATATTCGTTTCACAATTACAGCATTACCATTCGACTGAATTTTGCTTTAGATTTCCACTGATAAAACTATTCATAATTTCAGTAGTATGCACATTATTATATGTTCAATTTAATTGATCATTATGAAATACTAAAATTTATTGATTTATTTCGAAAAGTTTCCCTAGTTAGATAGCTGATTCAACATCTTGTGTTCTTCTTTACGACTATATTTCTATTCATTAGAATCAATTGTTGGAATCAGTAGCTGTGATAACTAAACAACAAAGTCGACCATGTATAAGGTTATCAATGATTAGACAATATTAAAGCTAATTTCCACAGAATAGAGTGACAACCTATTTGAATTAAGAGTATTTCAAAAGATAAATGATGAAACTTGTAAAAATACAAAGTTGTTATAAAATTTATTAGCTTTTCAGACAGATTTATTTCTGAGATATCATGATGACTATAAATAGGCGTTTTCGAGAACTTATTATTACTATTAACTATATTCAATAGTATATTTCTGGAACAATATAGAATTCTCAGCAAAATGTATTGCAACAACCTTCCCTTCTTTATTTCTTCATCGATCCTGATGATATATATTGAGTGATAATCAGTTAGATGTTCGGCGATCGACTATCGTAACCAATGGTTGGAGACTCTTGGTGACATGGCTCAGAATCGATCACAATGGCGTCGGTGTATACACTCTCTATCTTCCCTTAAACTAAGAGATTCAAATCACCTCAAAACTTTCTTTATATAAACTAATTATTTCTTCCTGTACTATATCCCGATACACAATCTTTCTTTTATATATTACCACCTCTGAATTAACTGGTTTTATGAATCCGGTGTCCATCTTGTTGTGTTAATGAGGTATGGCAACTTGGACAGATGCATAAATGTACTTGGTTCTACGTTACAGCTGACTGACTGACTGACTATCTGACATAGCCAGCAACCACAATGTCTCTGATTGTGCTCTTTCCCAACTTGTACAGCGAAATGTCGGAAACAATTCACAAACACACGTGAATAGATTATGCAATTGACTGATATAATGATTTGTTTAAACAAACAACAAAACAAATATCTAGTTGAAATATCTAGGTGGTAAGAACAGGTAACCGAGATATTCGAACAGGCTATTTCGGTAATTGATGACGAACGTCAGTAAAGTATAGAAATCGTGATCTGTGATTGAATTCTATCATTCGACAAATTGTTGAAATTGATTTGTTTAGAATTATACTATGAAATAATAACAGTGAAATACAAGCCTATTGATTTTCATTTCACATATAACTTATACTGAACAAAGAGTAAGAACATTTTGTGCTTCATATTGCCATTCTCATCCTATGACAGATATTAAGAATATGTACTGGTTTAGGATCACGTGTGTGTGTTTTTTGATGCTCACTGCTGAGACGATTAATACTAGGAGGAAAGTGCTATTCAATGCTTCTAGATTTTCAATGATGGTCTATATTTGATTGGTTTATGATGTCAATCAAAAGATTTGTGACTGTTTTTATGCACTATATAGAAGTATTTTTACATGATGTCGCCTATGATGTTAGATAAATGTCGTTGATTTATGAATTTCATACAGGATGTAGAAGCCGTTTCCTCAGTTGTAAACTTTTCACAAACATACCTAAACATCTCATTCAATCAACTGACCCAATGTTTTGTTTAAAGAAACAAGAAAACAGATATCTAGTTAAAATATCTAGATGATAAGAAACAGATAGCCCATATATTCAAAGAGGTCACCTTTGATAAATAATAATCATTATTTCATTGTTTTTCAGTATACATGTGATAATAACACTTAATTATAAACAAAAATACAAAGCAAGTGGCTATGAGGACTCATCAGCTAAGTGGATAACGCGATTACTTTGAAAGTGAGCGGTGCTTGGTTCTAGTTCCAGAGTGAACATCAACTCTGAGATACAAGTACATCCAGCTGACGAATATCAAATAGGACGAAACGTGCGTTCTGTATTCCACTACTACTCACTATCCATTCTTGCTTAGAAATTCTGTTCCCTTTCAACAACAACAAAAAGAAACATTTACAATCATCCTAAATGTATATTAATAATTGAAGAATAATTTTGTTTTAACAAACTATCTATTATGAAAAAAAAAACTTTAATTATTTCTTGATTAAAACAAAAATTGCATGAAAGTTTTAAATAAACAAAATTAGTAACCATCACTTTTCTTAATTCATTTATCCATTAGTAATAAACGATATGAACAATTTATAATTGAGTTATTCTATTCATGATCTTTATTATTTTAACTATATCATGTCCAGTTTAGAGATTGTGTGACTGAAGTAATTATTCATGCTAGAACCTTATTATTATTATTATTACTATCATTACTATTACTACTACTATTACTGTCATTACCACTATTATTACTATTATTATTATTATTACTATCATTACTACTACTAATACTACTACTATTACTGTCATTACCATTATTATTACTATTATTATTATTATTACTATCATTACTACTACTACTACTACTATTACTGTCATTACCATTATTATTACTATTATTATTATTATTATCATTATTATTATTACTACTACTATCATTACTACTACTACTACTACTACTATTACTGTCATTACCATTATTATTATTATTACTATTATTATTATTATTACTATCATTACTATTACTACTACTATTACTGTCATTACCATTATTATTATTATTACTATTATTATTATTATTACTATCATTACTACTACTACTACTATTACTGTTATTACCATTATTATTATTATTACTATTATTATTATCATTATTACTATCATTACTACTACTACTACTACTACTACTACTACTACTACTACTACTACTACTACTACTACTACTACTACTACTACTACTACTACTACTACTACTACTACTACTACTACTACTACTACTACTACTACTACTATTACTGTCATCACCATTATTATTATTATTATTATTATTATTATTATTATTATTATTACTATTATTGTGATTATGATTATCTCTGGTGGTACACTAAACATTGTATCCATGCAAATATGAATATATGAGCCATAAACTATATTTTATTGCACTAAAACATAGTAACATGAATATTATCTTATTAATGAATACTAGAAAAAAGAAAAATAATAATAATAATAAGGAATGATGCCTATCGTTAACATTTATCATGTTATATGCATGTTTCTATAGCGTAACAATTTTTTAAGGGGTAGTTAAAGTGACACTCTATAAATTGTACTGATCATTTTTTTAAAAAATAATTTATTTATATATGATCTTTTTTTAGTTTTCATTATCCTTACTATGGTGGTGTATGCTACTGATATCGACAGATATACTTACTTACTTACGCCTGTTACTCCTCGTGAAGGAGCATAGGCCGCTCACCAGCATTCTCCATCCAACCCTGTCCTGGGCAATCCTTTCTAGCTGCGTCCAGTTGTAATTCATCGTTTTCATATCTGCTTCTGTTATCCGACGCAATGTGTTCTTTGGCATTCCTCTTGTTCGCTTCCCTTCAGGATTCCAAATTAGGGCTTGTCTCGTGATGCAGTTTGAAGATTTCTCAATGTATGTCCTATCCATTTCCATCGTCTTTTCCTAATTTCTTCTTCAGCTGGAAGTTGGTTTGTTCTCTCCCACAGAAGGCTATTGCTGATGGTATCCGGCCAATGGATGTTGAGTATCTTGCGTAGACAACTATTTATAAATACTTGTACCTTCTTGATGGTGGTTGTTGTAGTTCTCCAAGTTTCAACTCCATACAGTAGAACTGCCTTGACGTTGGTATTGAAGATTGTGACTTTGATATTGGTTGAAAGTTGTTTTGAGTTCCATATGTTCTTTAATTGTAGGAATGCGATCCTTGCTTTGCCAATCCTTGCCTTTACGTCTGCATCTGAACCTCCTTGTTCATCGATGATGCTTCCCAGGTATGTGAAGGACTCTACATTTTCCAGAGTTTCGCCATCAAGAGTGATTGGATTGTTGTTTTCCGCTTTGAATTTGAGGACTTTGGTTTTCCCTTTGTGTATGCTGAGGCCTACTGATGCAGAGACTGCTGCTACACTGGTTGTCTTCATCTGCATCTGTTCCTGTGTACGTGATAGGAGGGCTAGGTCATCTGCGAAGTCCAAATCGTCTAATTGATTTTGAGCTGTCCATTGAATTCCGTGTTTTCCTTCAGATGTCGAGGTCTTCATAATCCAGTCGAACACCAGAAGAAAGAGGAAGGGAGAGAGTAAACAGCCTTGTCTTACTCCGGTCCTTACTTGGAATGCATCTGTCAGCTGTCCTCCATGCACGACTTTGCATTGTAGTCCGTCGTATGAGTTCCGGATAATGTTGACAATCTTCTCAGGAACTCCGTAGTGTCGAAGAAGTTTCCATAACGTCCTCCTATCCACACTGTCAAATGCTTTTTCATAATCAATGAAGTTGATGTATAGTGATGAGTTCCACTCAACTGATTGTTCGACGATGATCCGTAGTGTTGCGATTTGGTCTGTGCATGATCGATCCTTACGGAATCCAGCTTGTTTATCTCGAAGTTGGGCGGCCTCGTGATGCAGTTTGACGATTTGCGTAATGTATGTCCTATCCATTTCCATCGTCTTTTTCTAATTTCTTCTTCAGCTGGAAGCTGATTTGTTCTCCCAGAGAAAACTGTTGCTGATGGTATCCGGCCAATGGATGTTGAGTATCTTGCGAAGACAGCTATTTATATATACTTGTACCTTCTTGATGGTGGTTGTTGTAATTCTCCAAGTTTCAGCTCCATACAGTAGAACTGCCTTGACGTTGGTATTGAAGATTGTGACTTTGATATTGGTTGAAAGTTGTTTTGAGTTCTGTTTGTTCTTCAACTGTAGGAATGCGATCCTTGCTTTTCCAATCCTTGTTTTATGTCTGCGTCTGAGCTTCCTTGTTCATCGATGATGCTTCCCAGGTATGTGAAGGATTCTACATCTTCCAGAGTTTCGCCATCAAGAGTGATTGGATTTTTGTTCTCCGCCTTGAAGAGAACAGCAATCCAATCACAGATATAAGTAGTATATATCATCAATCGAAAGTGAAATATTTGGTGGTAGAAGGTTAAGAAGATAGAACAGTAGAGAGAATGAGAATAGAGAATGATTAATGTAGAAATGAAGGAACAATGAAGTTTGAGACGAGTGATTAACATTTTATGAATGAAGTATTTACTGTGTGGCTCTTGTATTTTATTAAGATGTTCCTGTTGACTACCTCCAACCACCATCTAAATCTCACTACATAGTGCCCGCAGTGTAGAGTTACCTAGACTGGTGGCCACACTGCAACATGATCGATAGCATTCGATCTGCACTAATAAGGACCAGACAAGCATGATATTGATCACCACCCAGTGATCAATCAATTGTGATGTTCTGTAATTTTATACTCAAATATATTTGATAGTCTTCAGTTGTGTACTCGTTCACTACATTATTATTATTGTTGTTGTCATTATTATTACGAATATATGTTTGAGAACTTATCGAAATCGTAAAACAAGGTGTAGTTCTCTAGAAAAGAATTCAAGTGAGCTATTATATACGAAATATATAAAAATATATAGTAAGGAAGTTAACTGACTTGTTTATCACATATGCAATACTTATACAAGATGTCAAATAGTTGTTTAAGAAGGACTCATTATAATATTTGGTAAATGAATTGCTTGATAAATCAATTGTTTTCGAATCAGCGTTCATTGTTCATGTTTACATTCAACAACAACAACAACAATATACCTCCGTTGATGTACGTGTATAATGACATTACGTTTTTGAATGTAATATATGTGGGAAGTTTTACAATTAAGATAGTTCTAAGTCAAACAGGTTTATAGATTCAATTTGAAATAGTTTGGATTATCGCGTTGTTGATATTTTGATTGTCATTTCATCAATCTTGGTTGACATATGTACATCCTATGAGAATTGTCTTGATATAGCCATTGTTTAACAAGCTTATATAATATAGATGGATGTTGGCTGTCTTAACTTACCAGTTCAATGGGCTTTCGAAGCGAACTAGACGGAGTTCGAACTCCGTAGTGATCAGAGCTTCTAACTAGAACTTCGGATATCGTATTTCAAAGCCAGGCACTAGTGATCTAAACAATAAACAACAATCTCCATAACTACACACTGACATATAATTGATTGTTTTGGATTCATTTCTGGTCTTTAAGTGTTAATTAAATCTGTCTGTAGCTAGAAATTGCTAGTTGATCCAAGTTTGAAAGATATAAAACTGGATGCACACTCAGTAGTCTGAAGATTCAGTGCTCACCTGAAGATCGTTGTTTCAATCCTTGGTGGAATTTCTAGTACTTCCTATTATTCACTGATTGTTTAACTGAAATCAAATTATTTTTAAAACGCCTACACTCAGTAATCTTTAATAATTGCTCTTCATGATGCTTGCAAGACCTGGATTCTATACCTATCGATTGGTATATACGTACTGTATTTAATTAGTCTCATACTAGGACTAATGGGCTGATCAGTGCTTATTGTTTTATATCATTGTCTAATTATTTTTCCATTGATAATGCGAAATTTCTTCCATATTATCCTATCACAAACACAATAATTAATCTTAAGACCTAGGAACACTGGACGGCCGTTTTGTCCCAGTACAGGACTCAGCAGTGCGCATTTACGATCCCACACCCCGCGGGATTCGAACTTAGGGCCTGTCAGTCCCGCGCCAGGCGCTTAACCAACTGAGCCGGCCGGTATTCAACAATGTTAATGTCTAACTTCAACTAATCCATTAAGTTGCGCCACCATACACCACTGTCTTCAGTGAATTGATATCTCACAACAGATCTGGTTGAACTCCACTGGTAACCGCTTCTTACTAGAACTTCAAAAGTATCCCTTGAAGTCAGTCACTGAATAAACTTTAGGTTCATATTGATTTTGTTTACATTGAAGTGTTTTACATTCGAATACTTTTGTTACTCTATATTAAGAATCTATTGGAATTTTACATGTGAATCAATTTCTATAGATAAAATATAAACACTTTCAATGAATCATTTGTATATTACCATAATGTAATTTGTTTATTTGATTACATGCTGTTCTGTTGTTAATCTATTTAATATAACATTAAACTTAACTAAATGTTTATCATAGAAAGAGTAGTTAACAAGGAAAGATTCATATTTCTTACAAATAGATGTTTACAACAGCTGACAATATATTGAGTGTAAATATAAATATTACTAAGGTATATTACTATATGTTGTGTACATAAACTTGATATATATTGGTAAACACACACATATATATGAGAGGTGAAAGATCATTTCTATTGAAATGTTATAGTCTTGAATGTACTTTATTGTAAAAGAGATGAATAGGTCACCTTAACCAAGGTAATATAGATATATGTTTATAAGGTAAAGAAAGTATATTTTTCAAGGATAATGTTTTATTCAAGTGATATATGATTATACTGATTCAATTTTGAATATATTTAACTTAGAACAACATCCATAAGTGAACAATACTGTTTCCAATAAGATTCTCATCAGTCTTTACTCATAATATACAGTAATATTTATATGCATATACGAAATTATACAACCAATCAAGGTAGCAATGATGGATAGTGGCTAGCAGTGAAATCCAGGACGTGCGTTTCGTCCCATTTGGAACTCGTCAGCTGGATGTACCTACATTTCAAAGAGTTGATGTTCACTCTGGGACTCAAACCCATTACCATTCGCTTCAAACGCCATCGCGTTATCCACTCAGCTACTGAGTTCTGAGATGCATCTAGCTGATGAGTCCCAAATAGGACGAAACACGCGTCCTAGATTCCACTGCTAGTCACCAACCATCATTGCTTACAAAAAGCTTGTGAATTAAGGCAATATCGAGACATACGTACAGTATGCACATATGCCAACAACGGACTGATCAATTGCAATCGTAAACCTTAATGGGATGATACAAGCCAAACAATACCAAGTGAATAATCAAGGTAGTTTATGAGTCAATGATAATAGTAGAATAGATTACATAAATGAACATAATAAGTGAAAAGTGCAAATTGGTGGTGTGATGACAGATGTACTAGTTTGGATAAGAATAATAAAGGCTTAAATCAATGTTATATAATCGGAAATAGGTCAATAATTAGACACAAAACTAACATTCATAGAAAGATCATAGGATTATGTAATAAGAGGTGTTCAGATAATTGGACCGCGAAGCGAATGACTGAAAAAAGAAAAGAGTGAGAGAGTGTGAAGAAAAATAAACAAAAAAAGAGTATGGAAAATAATAATGAATAAAATTATTTATTAAGGCCAAGGGTAAGATAAGGGTGTTACAAATGTCTTATGAACACAGGGACTTGGATTGTTGACTCGAATTCCAATAATTTTTTGCTATGTGTAAAAGACGAGATCGAACACCATAGGGATAATTAGTAAGAATACGATTAATAACTTTAAATGACTTATTTCTGTCTACTACATGACAACTATCCATCAAGTGTGATACAAATGAGCTATCTATTGTCTTGACAGTATCTATTCCTAACTATGAAAGGAGGTGTTTACTAGCTCTTTGATCCAGCTGTCTGATAGTGCGTCCAATATAGCTTTATCTACAGGATATACGAATTGAGATTTTAAAAAAGTTTATTTTAAATCATTTCAATCTGTTTAATATCGAACTACATTCAGTTTTTTATTTATTGTCTTAAGTATTTAAAACATTTTAAGGTATAATAAAACGTATAACGCTTAAAATGTCTCATCAATTGTTGCCAAGTATACCGTACAATCAATACAAACACTAATATAATAAAATGAAATAGATTTCCAAGATCTAAACCACTGATCGATCAGTTTTCTTTGTAACTTTCTATTTAATATTTATCAAAATAGTATACATAGAAAAGCAAAAAACATTATTTTGTTTTATCTACTAGATAACGTCCATAACAACAAATCACAATCAATTAACAGTAGAGATGAATGAACATGATCGTATTCAACAGCCTTCGATAACTGTTTGCAATATCTTCAGGATTAGTATTGCCGTTTAATACCGCTACTACTACTACTACTACTACTACTACTACTACTACTACTACTACTACTACTACTACTACTACTACTACTACTACTACTACTACTACTACTACTACTACTACTACTACTACTACTACTACTACTACTACTACTACTACTACTACTACTACTGCTACTACTACTACTACTACTACTACTACTACTACTACTACTACTACTACTACTGCTACTACTACTACTACTACTACTACTACTACTACTACTACTATTACTACTACTACTACTACTACTACTACTACTACTACTACTACTACTACTACTACTACTACTACTACTACTACTACTACTACTACTACTACTACTACTACTAAAGATAATTATAACGTGTTTCCTGCTTTTATCATATATTCATTTAACAAGTCAACAATTTAAACAGATCAAGAAACAATACAGGAAACAAGCATTTCAATGTGATGATTTTACGTGAAAAACAATTTGTTTATAATGTTTAGTTCTTTATAAATTTAATTTGTTTGAATCTAATAAACATTTTTTTTTCTCTCTGTATATATATTTATATTAAACAATGAAGTACTTGATTTTCTTTGTATAAATATATATTCACTGTTCCGTTCTACTTATAGACTATGTTTTATTGATTCAAATTGGTTAAATCATTCAGTAGTGAGCTATAAGAAAGAATAAGTATAATGATTCTTTATCACTAATCAAAGAGATCCTAAAGGTATATTATTTTCTTCCCTAAATACAGCAAAATTATCAACCATTTGAGTTATCTTAAATATCATTACAAATCGTGTCATAGTGATTAGTAAACAAACATTTTAAATATATACTGAACATTATTAAAGCATTCTTACCCCCCCCCCATCTAAGTAACACATTAAAAAGAGATACTGTTGGTGATTTCAGTTTATAATACTGGTGTTGCGTGGATTAGTTAAAGTTAGACATTAACACCGTTGGATGCCTGTCGGCTCAGTGGTCTGATGGTTAAGCGTTCATATGCGAGACTGATAAGTCATGAGTTCGAATCTCACGAGGTGGAATCGTGAATGCACACTAGTGAGGAGTCCCACAGTAAGACGAAACAGCCGTTCATTGCTTTCAGGTTTTCCATAGTGGTCTAGATTCGATTGATTCACGATCTCAACTACTGAAACTTCTATTATCCTCCATTCTTTTCAATAATTTATATTCTCATGGAAAATCAATCTGATATGAATTGAAGTCATCCGTGTAATCTGTGCAGTTAACCATTTTTTTCTGTCTATACCAAACTAAAAAAATGAATGTCCATGACATTTCAAATTACATTGGTGAGACTATAATTTCTGGACGATCTAATCAGGTATAAAATAACAGGTCATGGATTTTGACGCGAAATTCTCTCATCCATTTGGCTAAATAGAGTTTTAGCATTATAGCTGATGTCAGTTCGTGATCAAAATCCTAAATCTTATTCCTAACCCGAATCATCAACTGTAAATCATAATTGTAATTCCTCACATAGGTGTATAACATTTATTTGATTCTAGTTATTAGGTGGACACTCTCAAGATCACTCCAGCGTCGCTGGAAATTCATCCGTGAATTATACTTTCACCAATATACTTAATAATTGTATTTCTTGTATTTGGAGACTTTTTCGTAGTTATTTTTTTTATAAAACATTTGTTTACTTTCTTTATTACAAATTTCGTACAATCGTTGATCAGAAAGAGAAGCAAGACAAAATGACGCTCAATGGAGAAGGTTAGTGAGCCAGCTCACCTTAACTGAATATTTATAGTCAGACAAAAATAAATTACAGACATGTGATGAGTAAAATAAGAAACGTATACATATACGCTTACATAAAAATAGTCAAGGTTGATAAGCAAATAGTTAACAAGATTAAAATGTGACTTAAGAAGAATAAATAAATTGGCCTGTCCGGAAGCCAGAATAAGCTATGTGGGCTTAACATAAAAATTGTATTTATTATTTATTTATTTATTTGAACACATAGATACTGGTACAAGGAAGCACCAGATACATATGCGCCACACAAATCTCATTTGATTTGTGTGAGGGCTGTGATACTGCTCGAGTGCCCAGACCGAAGCACGTGGCTTTCTTAGGGGGCCACACTTGGAGCCTTCGAATTAAAAATCTGACCCGGAAAGCAGTGTAGCATCGTAAGGAGATGCAGCCTCATGGTAGCCGGTGACCAACAATTGGTTCATACTCTATTTATTACTTCAGGATACTGGGGCCCATGTTCACCATTGGTTTGGGATGAGGGTTTTCTAACTCCCCTGGATGGACTCTCCGTGTCCACCAACCCTGTTAAAGTGCCGGACATTAGCTTTTCGTCTTCTGAATTTCGTAAACAACACTCCCACCACGAGAAGTCAGTGAGTAGGATTTCCCTGGTAGAGGCTATATAAACGTGACCGTGTAAGAGCATTTGGAGAGGGAGAGTGGACTCTCCCCACTCTTGGCCGTACCAGGGCATTTAAGGGCAACATAACAATTAACACTACAATATAAATCAGAAACATAATTATACATTTTGACGTTTGAGGTTTCCTATTCTTGATATGGAGGGCTAAATTTAGTAGTTCTTTAATGCACACCTAATTGTTTGAATCTGTAGGGATTAGATTTAATTCCTGACGTAAAAACCATTACAAAGATCTGACAGCAACATTCATTTGATGAATCCTGAAGTAGGACAAAATGTACATCAGGAATTTTATTGCTAACTAAAATTCAAATATATTAAAGTATTATACATACAATCAATAAAATTAGATAGCACTTTATCATTCATTCAATAATTAGTCTCACTTGAAATTTTCACAGATTAAAATCATGAGTCAGTTGAAGCTAGACTACCATTGAAAACCTGGAAGCACTGGACGGCCGTTTCTTCCTAGTATGAGACTCCTCAGCAGTGCGCATCTACGATCCCGCATGGTGGTCTAGCTTCAACTGACTCATAATTTCAATCTGTGAAAATTTCTAAAATCTCCACAAACCCTTTCTGATCACTTGAAATTGTTAAGTATGTTTCATCTGTTATTATAAATGTTTATATTGAGTAAAAACGACTGAGTTAAGTTATTTGAATACTTAACAGTTTTGAAGATAAAATATTCTACTTCAATAGTTTTATTCCCTTATCTTTTACACACACACACACACACTCATTTAATCATATACCGTAGATATGAATTTAATCAACTGGAATAGATAATATAGATAGATGGATAGATAGATGGATGGATTGATTGACTGGTTGATTGATTCATGTATAGTTCATTAGGTATATTTGTATTACTTAACTATACCATAGAAAAATAAAAAAAATCTACTCACTAATTATGCTCCATAGAACTAGAAGAGAAATGAAAATCTTAGTTAATAGAAAATAACAAAGAAAAATATCAATATTTACGTCGATTAAATTTGTATTTCCAAAAATTATATACAGATTAAGTAGACATTTTATAAATCTACTTTTATGTACTTCAATGAAGAATAGATCTGAACATAAACTAACCATTATTCTTTCGTATAACTTCTGTGTCTTTTTAGGTCTTTTGTCATACTACAGTGTTTTTGTTCATGTTATTCCTTTACTTTGAATTCCCGCTCAGTGGTATAGAGGTTAAGCGTTCGCGCGCTTGAGACCGTAAGTCTTGGGTTCGAATCCCGCGGACGGGATTATGATTGCACTTTTTTGAGGAGTCTTACAATAGGATGAAACGGCCATTCAGTAGTTTCAGGTTTCCCACGATGGTGTACGTTTGATTAACTCATGAACTCAACTATTAAATTAATAAACAAGCGTTTGTGGTTTGGAATACTTTTAGTAGAATCAAATTAAATCATAAGATGCTTATTATTAAATTTATAGAATGAAAAAAAACAAATGAAACAGGATTAAATAGAATCACAAATTTAATATCCGATGGTAAACATTTGTAACTGTGGTCAATTTTTAAGAAGCCTCATAAAGGGAAAAGAAATACAGTCTAGTTTTTTTATACTTTTCAATGTTACCTTAACTGATGCATAATGCGAAAGGGTTTTGTGGATACTGTACTAATTTCAATGGTTGAAGTCATGAGTTAATTGAAGCTAGACCACCATGGAAAACCTGGAAGCACTAGACAGCTTTTTCCTCCTATGGTGGGATTCTTGAATAGTGCGCATCCACGATCCTTCCCCACGAGATTCGAACCCAAGACCTAACAGTCCAGTACTTCCAGGTTTTCCATGGCGGTTTAATTTCAATTGACTTATAATCTCAACCTTTATAATTGATACATAATCCTTGATGCTTATCAATTACAAATTGTAATAATCTTCAGACAGTCAGTTTATTTTAAAATATCCAATAGTCGTTTATCATTGCTAAAATAAATGAATTCAAACAATAGTGTTCCGATGGATAGTGGCTAGCAGCGGAATCCAGGACGTGCGTTTCGTCCTGTTTGGGACTCGTCAGCTGGCTGTACTTGCATGTCAGAGTTGATGTTCACTCTGGGACTCGAACTCCGCACATATGACAATAAGAGACTGATCAACTTCAGTCCTAAAACATCAATGGGAAGACTCAAATAAAACAATATCAAGTGAATAGTGTTCTGAGTTAAACTATTGATCTTGGAACTGAGTTTAATTAAATGGTAATGACTATTTACTGGAAATATACTTTATATAGATATAAAATCATGATAAAGTGTACAGTTTCATTGTTATTATTTGTAAAAATACAGTAGTTTGTCTGGAATTGTTATCTTTTTATAAATAAACAAATTTGCCAACTTAATTAAACTCAAACATAAATTATAAAGATCGTAAACTTTTCAATAACTCGTACAAGTTAAACACAAGCATATAACCGACAGTAATTTTAACAATCTCGATAGATATCTACTGTCAGAAAGGGGATTTTTTGTGGATATTATAATAATTTTAATAGTTCAGTTCATGAGTCACTTGAAGTTTAACTAACATGGAAAACCTGGTAGCACTAGAAAGCCATTTCGTCCTGATATTCCTAGACAGTGCGCATGCAAGATACTTCCCCACTGGTTTCGAACCTATAACCTATCGGTCTAGCTCACAAGCTTACTTACTTACTTACTTACGCCTGTTACTCCTCGTGGAGGAGCATACGCCGCTCACCAGCACTCTACATCCAAACCTGTCCTGGACAATCCTTTCCAGCTCCTTCCACTTGTTATTCATCTTTTTCATATCTGCTTCTATTATCCAACGTAATGTGTTCTTGGGCCTTCCTCTTTTCTGATTCCCTTCCGGATTCCAAGTTACCAATTGCCTCGGGATGCAGTTTGACGATTCGCGTAATGTATGTCCTATCCATTGTCATCGTCTTTGCTTAATTTCCTCTT